ACTTTGATATATTTGAAACGGTAAATTATTTTAGTAGCACAAACATTACTTTTAAGACATGTTTGACCTTTCGTACATATATGAACTGTGGGTTGGAAATTCTTGCCAAGTACCTGTTTTGGACGAGTCTACAAGAGCAGGACATCTCGGATAACCTCGAAACTACACCCTATAGACTCTTTATATTATGTGTGCCGAAAACAAGTAAAAATATCCACACTGAGAACCCAGACCTTTGTTTCAGTAATATTCACAACGAGATCCTTAACTTCGCTTTGTATAGAGAGCTTGTTAATCAGCCCGGGACTCGAGCCGGCAGGGATCTAAGTTCAAACTGTAGACTGCTAAATAAATATCCCCTTTCGATTTACCTGGTAAAATTCTGCTTCGAATTATTATAATGTGTCGCGTTGACTCACGATCACTGTCACGTGTTAGTTATAATACAATTTTGCTTCCGGATTGATTGTTGTTCACGATGTTATATTAACGACTGTTGACAGATTTCATTAGACCCCGGTAGACATGTAACATTTGACTGTACAAACACCTCAGTGTTATTTAAAGAGAATAGTAACAACTGACGTACATTAATATCGATATCTGCACGACTGACACACCAGGAACAACAGGACAATATGTCAACAGAATTTTTAACCGAAAATCAACGAATCGAGGTCAAAATATGGTACGCTTGTGGAAAATGCACGAATAATAAACCATGAGTTCAAGAAGGACAAGCGTCTTCTGCTTCTTTCTCAGTTTTCTTATACTGAAACGTGATCAGCTTGGATTTTGTCTGGAAAGACTGAATAATGTGTAGGGTTTCATTGTTACAGAACAAAATCTCTTTTTAAAGTAGATATGTTTTTTTTTCAAGATTCAAGAACAAATTCTAGATCAAGGAACACACATTTGCGCTTTGCAAAAATTTTCTATTTCAGCTGTTATGATTTATTAAAGATATGTAGACTGGATGGATATACTTTATTTTGAAATTGAACCCAATTTAGTCTGTTCTTCTTTACCTTTTTCAACACATCGCTTTTCATGGAATCTATAAGTGCACGGTGAAATTCACAGCTTAAATAATGGAAGGCGTTTCAGATATGTTTGTCCTTCCATGAAAATCAGATGTAAGTGTCCAAACAATGGCTGCTTCTGGCTATGAAATATACTACTTTTAACCACTTAAAAAACAGAACCGAAGACGTTTCTCGTAACATGTTAGAATTGTAACGATTTGTTTTTCAAGTTTTATTTGTATAAATATCTTATAAAGCGTCATTCCCAATTTAAATTTACTTATACATCAGTGTGTCGAACAGACCTGTTAAAAAGTCTCAACTTAGACCAGAGATTCGTGTATTAAAAGTTCCTGCTCAAAATTACTGACAACGTTACTTTTAAACGAGGAAGTAAATTTCATGTGCGGGAGTCAGAAAATCTTTGTACAAATATAGATCCGTTTCTCATTTGAGAACGTGATTTTTTTTCAATGCCTCCGCTTGGATTCGAACCCACGACGGTAGCAGTACACAGTTTCTCGGTGTGGCCATGGGTGATTTTTTTGCTCATTAGATTACCCCATTATAAAGGTTTTAATTAAAAATGAAAAAAAAAATCCTTGCTAAAATTGGTCCTGTCATGTTAAAGTGGACAATGTGGGGTTTCATTTTTTTCAGGATAATATTTTAGCTTTGTGTTGGAGATTACTATTTGGGCAGTCTCGAATCTGTGTCTACGCACCAAAAACTAGCTTTACAGGAAGTGAAATTTTCATAGTGTTCACATGTGGTCATGTTATGAAGAATTTCCGAGTTGGAATTTGCTGAAATGTAAGTACTTTGTTGCCATGACAGTGTTGTTGATTGTAAGATAGGTGTTAAGAATTAAATTTCTCCTAGAAAGTTGTAGTGTTGGGTTGGAATTAGCAGTATTTTTGCATTTTTAGCATTTTTTTCAGTAGGTAACCATGACAATCAAATGTCAGAAATCAGAGGAATTTTTTTTACACAAATTTCATCTCTCTACTGTTAATGTAATTGTTATATAGTTTATAAATATATATACATGTAATGATGTATTTCCCATAACCAATCTGCTATACCTGTATATCTCAAACATGACAAATAATTTCAGGAAAAATGCAAATTAACTGTTTACTGCTACCCAGGACCCCTGACTTTCTAGTCGTTCAACCGATCGATCTAAACAGAAGTTCCCTATAGCTGATCTGGTACATTGCCGCTTGTAGTTTACCACGGTTATAATTGAACATGACTAATAACTTGATCTATAGAATCGGTCGTTAAGAGTTAAAATCAACACACTCAAGAAATTCACTCAAAAAATTCCCACAATTAAACTTTGACGAGGTACCGGTGCATGGGAGATAACCCTAACGTGATGACGTCACTTCCGATACATTGTTCACCGATATGAAGGTAAACCAAGAATTCAACTAACCATTCTAGTGGGCGTGTAATCCTAACCTCCTATGTCACGCCCGTGTGTTCCCGATATATTTGTGGTACATGGTGTTTAGCTTTGTTAGTATGTAGATCTGAAGATCTGTTTATATCATAAGTTTTGTAGATCAGAATATACAATGACCTCTACTGCTCTATGATCACCACTGAATTTCATTTTTCTACCATTGTGCCTTGTCACGTGACATTGTGGTAAATTCCTTCTTATAGGTTACTGATGGTACTATTTAAACTTTCGCTTTGACATTTCTGCACTATAAAAATACACAATTTACCAATGTGCCTAAATCATACCGACATTATGCACTGCTTTATCGTGGTCGGTCATTTTTTTCCTTCGGGGTTAATAGATTCCAATACATGAACTCACTTACCCAGTTAAGAGGCGGAGTAGAGAAACATGATAACGAGCATGAGAATTTCTACAGAGTCAAGTACAATAGTAACTATTAATATTTTCAAGAGTCAATTACAATGGTAACTGTTAATACTTTCAAGTACCTGTAATGTAATTTTTTGATGAAATAGAACAGACATCAACGCATATCATTAATTCTATTTCTGTCGGTGAAAAAATGGAAAATTACACAAGACTCCTGAAAGCAAAAATATCCTATAAACTGAAAGCAGTTTTCTGTATATACAGTGGCGTAGCAAAACATTTTTAAGAGTGTATGCTTTCAAGAGAGGATCCAAGGGCGAAGCCCCGGTTAAGGGGGTCTAGGGGCGCAGTAAGGTTAAAAAAGTAGGGCAAATATATCTTAATGGAATTCGAGTGTATGTTTAAGCATACAAGCATACATTATTGCTACGCCTCTGTATACACATTCCTTGTTAAAACACTTACACGAGAGAGATTTTGAATAAAAATTGAAATCTGCCGGCAACGTCCTGTTATATCCTGAATAAAGATTTGTACATTTTGAAATCTGTTTCCTCTCTACTTGTTGGCGGGCTTGGCGGGGGGTTCCTAAAACCTCAAACTTATATTTCCAAACACATTTGCCTGACCTGTGTCCACATCATCCGATTATTCCTTGTTATCCAGCACCCACTACGTACAATTGTGTAGCGCATGTCACGTGGTTTGTGTGATTTCCTTTCAGATCACTATCGATGTATATGGCTTCCTTATATGTTAGTTTTTTTATCACCGACGGCATGAGTTCCATAACAAATAGGTTTTCCTTTGAGAGGCCAATAGCTACTCCATAGCTTGTATGTACATCTCAAATTAGTCTGGTCACCTACAAAAACCAAAGAGGGTCAAATCAAGGTGTTTCTCTGTAGTCATGGCGTCTCGACAGGAAGAAGCTGATTTGTTCACGGTCATTGCAGGAAATTCCGGAATCACTTCACCAATAGAGATATACACTCCTCATCCAAGCTGTATTCTGTTTATTGCTAATATTTTCCTGCTGTTTAATACAAAAACATTAATTTCTCGGATGAATACTTCTTTCCTGGAACGTAACGTCCATAATTATTTTGGAGGTTCCGTTTCTGATCATTTTATCTATAATGTCCCGAGTCCATTCAGCTCAGTGTCCATTTCTGTGTCACTTCCGGGCAGTCTGCTAAAAGAACCATTTTTCTGCGTCACTTCCGGATAATCTGCTAAAAGAACTATTTTTCTGTGTCACTTCCGGAAAGTCTGCTTAAAGAACCATTTCTGTGTCACTTCCGGACAGTCTGCTTAAAGAACCATTTTCTTCAGTGTCACTTCTGGACAGTCTGCTTAAAGAACCATTTGTCTGTGTCACTTCCGGATAATCTGCTAAAATAACCATTTTTCTGTGTCACTTCCGGAAAGTCTGCTTAAAGAACATTTTCTGTATCACTTCCAGGCAGTCTGCTGAACTAGAGAAGCGACAGATATACAGTATTTCCTAACACCGAGTCACCAAATTCTCGGAAATCCCATTAAAATCTTCACTTCGTCTTGGCACCGGGTTATGTGTTGGGGTCACCATTTTGTAAGAACTGAACCTGGTATAGAAAAAAACACATGATCACGTGACTTCTTAAAACGGATCGGGAGTATCAGGACTGCAGGACACAATGTACGAACACTCCAACAAGGATTATTTACCTATTATTTTCATATCAATAAATATGTTAAGAGGGTATAGACAGTTTGAAAATATACGTATTGAATGTGGCAGTTCACTGTATCGTTGTGATGATTTACTTTGTACAATGTCACGTGTTGGATAATTATATCTTTCATATTTCCACAGGGACGGATGGTGTGTGATTGCTTCCTGCCTTACGTCACCAAATCATTCAAGAACTGGCTGTCGTGTCGGACACGTGTCCTTGATAATCTCGACACGAGAAATAATTAAATTTCAAATTAGCCTACCTCAACGGAAATATAATCTGGATCCGATATAATAAACTATTAATTACATTTTACGTCACCAGAAGTGTTAATTATGTGACGTCATGGAGTCACGTGATAAGATTTGACGTCGTTGAAATGTGCTGATATATATCAAGGGAAACATGAGGAATAAACGAGTTGGTAGAGTGATCCAGTGGATCTTTGGAAAGGTGAAGGTCGTGGTGGCACTGATGTTGATCATATCTGTAACGATGACAATACGCGCTCTACTGCAGTCCGAGTTGGAGTCAGTGTCGTATGCGGTTAAACACTTGTCGCACGTGAAGCGGTACGGTCTATATGAGATTCAAAACAGACTCCAATTCTACGTCGGCAATGCCACTAGGCTTAATAAGCGAATGTCTGCATCTGTTAAAAACGTCACATTCGTGACTGTTAAGACTCCAAATGGCACAGTGACGTTGAACCCGTCTAGGTCACAGAAGGTCGTAGGAATTTCCAACATTAAAATACAAAGATTACATCTAACGACTGGATTCAAGTACCCGATGAATGTTAATCTGCGCGAGGCATACCAAATAAAAACGTTAAATGGATCCAACATCATCCAGGAACCGCCCATTAATCCTCATCCATTTAAGTATCTTCATCAACCTGGGCCTTGCAAATTCAACCCAAACGCCTCACGACCTCTTCTCATCATCGTCAAGTCGGCCGTGGGGAACGCCGTTATCCGTGACGGTGTCCGAAGTACGTGGGGCAATATAAACGATCTCGGGATTCGTCTTGTGTTCGTGCTCGGAGTGAACACCAGTGACCCGGAACTACAGCGTTCAGTGGACAGGGAAGCAGAATTATACCGAGACATTGTACAACAGGACTTCATCGACATTTACCAAAATAACACCTATAAAACTATAATGGCCTTCAATTGGGGCGTAGAACAATGTCCGGGGGCAAAGGTCAATTACTTCGTTGACGACGATTATCTGGTGCTACTTCCAAACTTGCTGCAATACATTCGGCGCATGGCGCCTCACAACGTTGAAAACTTATTTATGGGCCTTTTGGTGCCTCACTCACGCCCCTTTTCGGACCCTAAATCCAAATGGTTTGTACCTCTGTCGGAGTATCAGTATGATTTCTGGGTGCCGTACCTGGCCGGGGGCGCCTTTCTAGTGTCTGACAAAGTTATGCGCAAGTTCGTCTTCGCTTTCCCATATGTCAAGTTCTTGCGCATCGATGATTCTTATCTGGGGATCGTAGCCTATAAGCTCGGTATTAAACCCCAACCAAACACACTTTTCAACTACAATCGCGGGGCTATTAGAATGGACAGACAGGCGAGATGGTTCTCCAGCCACGGATTTAAAGATCCTGTTGTACTTAATAAGTACTGGAAATCACTAATGACTTTTCTCACTTAGGATCTGTGTCGACCTGTGAACTGTAAAGTACCGGAAGTAGGATCTTTGTTGACCTGTGATTTAAGGATACCGGAAGTAGGATCTTTGTTGACCTGTGATTTAAGGATACCGGAAGTAGGATCTTTGTTGACCTGTGATTTAAGGATACCGGAAGTAGGATCTTTGTTGACCTGTGATTTAAGGATACCGGAAGTAGGATCTTTGTTGACCTGTGATTTAAGGATACCGGAAGTAGGATCTATGTTGACCTGTGATTTAAGGATACCGGAAGTAGGATCTTTGTTGACCTGTGATTTAAGTATACCGGAAGTAGGATCTATGTTTACCTGTGATATTTGGGGTACCGAATGTAAGATCTATGTTGACCTATGACCTTTGTGTTACCGGAAAGAGGGTACAGTTTGACCTGTGACCTTTAGGGTACCGGAAGTAGGATATATGCTGACCTGTGCCCTTTGGAATATCGGAAGTTTTTACTGGCTATAACAAAAATAACTGTACACGGACAATATTTTTATAATATGAATTAAATTAACTTGCTGCCAATTTTGATACCATCTTAAACTCTATCCCCGCAGGGAGTCCGTTTTAGAAGGACTAGAAAGTCTTGTAAGGGAGTAGTGTTACTAACAAAGATGACAAATAAATAAAAAATGTTGGTCACATGGGTCAGCTGGTACATTGACCCCTTGGTAGTGACTGGAATCAAATGTGTTCAACCGAGTGTGTTTACGTTAAATATATCTTAAAGCAAATGTTACCTTCTTGAAACAGAAATAAACATATGTTATGTGATAGCTTATATCTGGGACTGAAGTTGGTTATGTAAGGACCGGCTCTGTAAAATTGCTGTTAGGGCTCTTTATATTGATATAACAATGTCAGTCTCGTAACAACGCATTATGTATCAAGTTACCAAAGTTTGATGCTTAACAAAGTTAGGTAACTCTTTCGTGTACCAAATATCAAATTGAAACGTAAGATGGCGCCTGCATATATCGCGTGAAAAACGCTAAGAGGTGTTTTTAGCCAGGCTCATTCAGTAATGATAATTCGGGATAAATAAAGGGATCGTAGATATGTTCCAATCAGAAGGTTAGATCAAATATTGCTGGTCACCATGAAAGCTCAGACATTTTATGAGACCGGTACAAAATTTACTGACATTCTGACGCATGACCGTTTCTTTTCTGACGTTTTAATTTCTTTGTGCAATAGAGTTATGACGTCACATTTGTAAAATTCGGAACCTCAGTCAATCAGAGCGGAACCTCAGTCAATCAGAGCTCCGCTAAGTGTGATCATGACACAAATTGATGCAATTACTAACAGGGCAGTTACGCGAGTAAGCATATCATCACGGGAGTTATTTTAGGGACTTGTGTAAGTCTATATCTCTCTGTACAGAGTTGTCGTTCTTGACATTCACAAATAGTATAGTTCTCATGTTTGTTTTACTTTTTTCCACAATTTTGATTATGTTTTATGTTTCAAGTTCACAAAAAGATAATTTCGAACACTGACATGAGTTACTTGTTTTTAATCAGTAAACAATTACCTATCTTTGTGTTGTAATTTATAGCCGTTGTAAATGCTAAATTGTTGTCAACCCGTGTGAGGACTGTCCACTCTCGCACGCTCAACATCCCTCTGTAGCCTTTCGAAAAAGAGTAGGCGTGATAACGCCAGTCCAGGGATTTAGGGATAGAGTTAGGTTATACAATTAGTTTAAGGCCTTTGACGGACTTTGAAATTACTCTAATTATAACCTAAACTAAATCTATGTAGGCCCCCTAGTCTTTCTTTCAGCCTCTGGACATGTTCCCAGTGCCAGGATAAGACATTATTATGTCCTGGAGCTGTCTTCTAAAACAAATATAATCAAACGATCACCGCTACAGACTGTTTCACCCCTGAGAGTGTGAGGGGGATACAGATTACCCCCTCCACCCTCGCCACCCCATCCTCCACGCGGCGCGACGATTTACCCAAATACACCAAAATCTTTCCCAAATATACCCAAATAAAGCCAAATCGTACCCAAATATACCCAAATCTTACCTAAATTCGTTCCCGCTTCATTTTTGTCCGTTTTTGTCCGTTAGGCTATATGGTATTACGGAATTTATATAAATTGCCTTAATAAATGGAAGCTAAAATTAGATAAAGAGAGTCTATTTGATCATGTGTATATCGTTTATTAGTAATAAAATATAATAACAGGAACGTATGTAACAGATATACGTCCCTGATAATACAGAGCCCGTTACGGCACGTTCCTGTAAATCGATTTGGCTTTATTTGAGTATATTTGGGTAAGATTTGGGTGTATTGGGGTGTATTTGGGTATATTTGGGTATATGTGGGTGTATTTGGGTAAATCGTCGCGCCCTCCTCCACGTTGCCAGAACACTGGACACGGGAGGAGTCGCGGAGACGGAACTCCCTGCCAACCAGTCAATCAAAGCTGGATCTTTACAGATAAACATCTTATTGTGTATTTCTACGTTACTGTGCAAATGTCAATTTATCAAAGGACTTGGGTCCATCATATTTACATGTATTATGCATCGCGAGTAACATCCATTCTGACCACAACTCAATACTTTACGTATCGACATTTTCATAACACTCCATTACGTAGACAGGAGCTCGGGTTCATGCGTATTGATAAGGTGACCCCGCACAAAACTGTGATGTATTTTACTATATCATGCATGTAAATCCGGAATTCCCTTGTCCGGCTCCTGAAAATAGTCCCGCCCAGCGCAATAATAAAAAAAGTAGTTTGTACCGCCATGGTGTTTGATGTGTAGTATGTTCTGTGAAAACCGTTTTGGGTCAAGACACGACAAAAACGGTACATAAAATTAGAAAAGAGTACTTAACATCCGTTCCCATGACGTTTTCGGATGTCAATTCAGAATATATAGTTATTCAAGTTTCTGTCACAAAATTCTCACTACCTTCTTTACTGTTAATTCTATTTTGGTTTGCGCGACCTTTTGGTATGCCTGCTTTGTTTTAAATCATTCACATATGCCCTGCATGTACTTATTATTAAAATGATTAAATTTTGCTTATGAACTGACGACCTATATTCTGACAGCTGTATGGCGCAGACGAATCCACTTTATTATATACTGTAAAACAATAGGTTGATTAAGAGCAGACTTTTGGTAACTTTTATTTCATCTGCTATCTATCTCCTGTTACATGTAATGGAATTTTCCAGGTAGGACTCTCTCTGCTTGTTGACAGAAATATAAAGGCGAGTACCTCAAGGGACAGTCCTTGTAACTCAGCTTGTTGAAAGAGGATTTGTTTCTGGAACTAGTCCTGTCTGGGGTACCTCAAGGGTCCGTCCTCGTAACTCAGCTTGTTGACTGGGGATCAGTTTCTGGGACTAGTCCTGTCTGGGGTACCTCAAGGGCCCGTCCTTATACCTCAGCTTGTTGACAGAGGATTTGTTTGTGGGACTGTTCCTGTCTGGGGTACCTCAAGGGACAGTCCTTGTTACTCAGCTTGTTGACAGGGGATCAGTTTCTGGGACTAGTCCCATCTGGAGTACCTCAAGGGGCCGTCCTCATACCTCAGCTTGTTGACAGGGGATCTGTTTCTGGGACTAGTCCTGTCTGGAGTACCTCAAGGGCCTGTCCGCATAACTCGGCTTGTTGACAGGGGATATGTTTCTGGGACTAGTCCCGTCTGGGGTACCTCAATGGGCCGTCCTCATACCTCAGCTTGTTGACAGGGGATCTGTTTCTGGGACTAGTCCTGTCTGGAGTACCTCAAGGGCCCGTCCGCATAACTCGGCTTGTTGACAGGGGATCTGTTTCTGGGACTAGTGCCCTGTTTTGCATATCTTCAGAGTGATTAGGTCTGAGGAAACGTGAAAATTCTTGTAACAATCTGAACAAAACCAACATTGAATAAAGGGCTGGGGCACGATCAGGAGTTTCAACCAAGCGAAAAATGTACACTGACACCGAAAAGTCTCACTTGTACTCCACTTAGGTAACATTCAGTAGAAATCAAATGACAACAACAGAATGATCTACAGTAAAACTTTATTTCATAAAATTAAAACTTAAAAAAAAAATCATTCAGTTCAACACCATGCATTTAAAGTCAACTGTTAAAAGCATTATATAAAACATAACCAGATCAACTAAATTTTGACAAGATGTAAAAACTAACACGATCATAAACGCTTAAAATATAATTACATATCCAAACAATTTAATTGTGTTTAAAAAGTGCTGTTTCAATACTAACTTATCTAACCAATGAGACAGATGTTTACTTCAGAAAAGTCACTTACATATGATAATTACATACATGTTCACAGCAATCTGACTGGTATTAACTTGGTAATTCATATCAAATTTGATTCATGCATTTTACACAACTCATAATCAGAATTGATTCATGGGAGGAAACTCTGACATTAATATGCATGATTAAGTGTAAACTTTCCACAAAAAAATTAACCCACAATATTCACTCAATAAGTATAATGATAAACAGGTCACTGAATATTATTTACAACATAAAATTGATTCTACCATATCTGGGTGTTGAGAAGAAGATTTTTGAAATTGAAGTCAATTTGACACTTTTTGACCCTGCTCGTCAGGCCCCTGTGGGTTTGGGACTTAATAATTCATAATTTTGGTTAACTTAAGCAAGGGAAGGTTTCTGCAAAATTTCACTGAAATCAGATCAGAAGTTTTTGACAAGAAGCAAAAATGTTAACTTGTATACAGATGCATGATGGCAGATGAAGTTGATTGCAATAGGTCACAATGAGACTTTCAGGTGACCTAAAAATCTATTTGACATGGGTACATTGGTCATCTCTAACAATAATTAACAATGATGATTAATACTTAATACACCGCTTTAATTTTGGTTAGCTTGCATAGTTATATCTAATTTTTGAAGAACAAATATGTGTTTGCCATCAATATAATTTTATGATCAAAATGCACAAACAAAAACAAGTAACGTGGTAAAAATATCATGAGCATTTAAAAATGTCTGCTAAAAAAACAACAGAACTATTCAAACTAAAAACAGTAAACTATTGAACCGGGAACTTTGTAAACATTCAACAAACAAATCTAGTGATTAATAAAACATAGAACAGACTTTCTTTTGTAAGGAAACAAATGTATCTCTTGGGAAACCTGCCAGTATAATCTGTGGCTTATTAGTGATAGCCAAATCACGTTATACATACCATTTATACTACCTACCTCCCCTCCCTAACTCACATTATACATACCATTTATACTACCTACCTCCCCTCCCTAACTCACATTATACATACCATTTATACTACCTACCTCCCCTCCCTAACTCACATTATACATACCATTTATACTACCTACCTCCCCTCCCCTCCCTAACTCACACATTATACATACCATTTATACTACCTACCTCCCTAACTCACATTATACATACTATTTATACTACCTACCTCCCCTCCCTAACTCACATTATACATACCATTTATACTACCTACCTCCCCTCCCTAACTCACATTATACATACCATTTATACACAACTCACATTATACATACCATACATATACATACCATTTATACTATATAATTCCCTAACTCACATTATACATACCATTTACATAAACCATTTATACATACCATTTATACCTACCTCCCTTCCCTACACATTATACATACCATTTATACTACCTACCTCCCCTCCCTAACTCACATTATACATACCATTTATACTACCTACCTCCCTCCCTAACCATTTATACATACCATTTATAACTACCCCTACTCACATCATACCATTTATACTACCTATAAACTCACATTATACATACCATTTATACTACCTACCTCCCCTCCCTAACTCACATTATACATACCATTTATACTATCTACCTCCCTAACTCATATTATACATACCATTTATACTACCTACCTCCCCTCCCTAACTCACATTATACATACCATTTATACTACCTACCTCCCTAACTCACATTATACATACCATCCCTAACTCACATTATACATACATATACTACCTATTTAACTCACATTATACATACCATTTATCCTACCTCCCCTCCCTAACTCACATTATACATACCATTTATACTACCTACCTCCCTAACTCACATTATACATACCATTTATACTACCTACCTCCCCTCCCTAACTCACATTATACATACCATTTATACTACCTACCTCCCCTCCCTAACTCACATTATACATACCATTTATACTACCTACCTCCCCTCCCTAACTCACATTATACATACCATTTATACCACCTACCTCCCCTCCCTAACTCACATTATACATACCATTTATACCACCTACCCTACCTCCCCTCCCTAACTCACATTATACATACCATTTATACTACCTACCTCCCCTCCCTAACTCACATTATACATACCATTTATACTACCTACCTCCCTAACTCACATTATACATACCATTTATACTACCTACCTCCCTAACTCACATTATACATACCATTTATACTACCTACCTCCCCTCCCTAACTCACATTATACATACCATTTATACTACCTACCTCCCCTCCTTAACTCACATTATACATACCATTTATACTACCTACCTCCCCTCCCTAACTCACATTATACATACCATTTATACTACCTATCTCCCCTCGCTAACTCACATTATACATACCATTTATACTACCTACCTCCCTAACTCACATTATACATACCATTTATACTACCTACCTCCCCTCCCTAACTCACATTATACATACCATTTATACTACATACCATTTATACTACCTTCCTCCCTAACTCATATTATACACATTTACCTCCCCTCCCTAACTTATTACATTCTCCACCTCCCTCCCTAACTCACATTATACATACCATTTATACTACCTACCTCCCCTCCCTAACTCATATTATACATAACATTTATGTATATAATTCCCTACAGATCACTACATAAACCATTTATGTATATAATTCCCTACAGATCACTACATAAACCATTTATGTCACTACATAAACCATTTATGTATATAATTCCCTACAGATCACTACATAAACCATTTATGTATATAATTCCCTACAAATTACTACATAAATGATTTATGTATATAATTCCCTACAGATCACTACATAAACCATTTATGTATATAATTCCCTACAGATCACTACATAAACCATGTATGTATATAATTCCCTACAGATCACTACATAAACCATGTATGTATATAATTCCCTACAGATCACTACATAAACCATTTATGTATATAATTCCCTACAGATCACTACATAAACCATTTATGTATATAATTCCCTACAGATCACTACATAAACCATTTATGTATATAATTCCCTACAGATCACTACATAAACCATTTATGTATATAATTCCCTACAGATCACTACATAAACGATTTACGTATAAACAAACATAGACATTAAACCCCACAGTTGAAGTATCCATGTTACTCCTAGGATCTTAAGTTGCCAAGTCTTCAGTGATATAAGGATTCCCCTTGACCAGCTAGAATGGTCTCATCATCTGTTAATTTGCTAGAGTTATAATCAACAGAATCACTGCAACAGAATCTCATGATAAAAACTGATGTTTGATAAACTCTCCTGTTAAAGTCATGTCATGATATAAACCCTACAGAACCTTTCACAACATATCCCTGTGATAGACTTCCTTCTTGTGTAGGCGAATATGCCTGATTAAATTGTCTTTTCGTGTATAAACTCCACCACAAATGTCACACTTGTGGTGTTGTACTTCCTGTGGAGCCTGGTGTATTAGACGATGCCTCTGCATTAAAGTGTTTAAACGGAATTTCCTTCCACATATGTCACATTCGAACGGCTTTTCTCCAGAATGTATCATCATGTGTTTCAGCATATCTGCCTTGTAAAGAAACAGCCTGTCACACACACAACACTTGTAAGGTCTCACACCCGAATGCACCAAGTGGTGAGCTTGTAGGTTTCCAGCCTCACTAAACTGCTTTTTACAGATGTGGCATCGGTGCGGTTTTTCTCCAGTGTGTTTACGAAGATGTCGCAACAGACTGTCCTTTCGATTAAACTCCTTGCTACACTCATAACATTGATACTCCTTGCTCCTGTCAGTGTGGGCCTGTTGGTGTCTCCGCAGCTTAGCCTTGGAACAAAACACTTTACCACAGACCTCGCAGGTAATGGGTGTTCCTACAGAAAGTGTATGTCTTTGCAATGTTTCTATGGAGCCGTATCCCCGTAAACAGATCTTACACCTGAATGGTTTATTTCCAGTGTGTGCATTTAGATGTCTCAGAAACAGCACCTTCCTTTGAAACCTTCGACCACAGCTTTCACATCGAAAGGGTTTCTCTTCAGCAGGTTCAAACACATGCGACTTTAGATGTTCTTCAAAATTAGACTTAACAGAAAACTTCCTACTACATATATTACATTCATATGCTACTTCTTCAGAACTTGTGTCTACATGCTTGCATTGATGTTTCTTTAGAACACTCTTGAAAGAAAATTCTTTTCCACAAACGTCACAGGGGAAAGGTTCACCTTTATGTAAGTGAACAAACGTACTGCAATGTTTCTCAAGCATGGATTTTGAACTAAAGCCCTTCTGACATATGCTGCAACTGTATGAACTTTCATTTTGTATGATTTGATGTCTCTGTACCGACTCCATACTGAACTCTTTCTTACCACAATTATAGGTGTTTTTCTCAGTGTGTACAATTCTATGTTCCTGGAGCACCAAGCTGGAACTGAACTCCTCCTGACAAATCTCACATTGGTATGTTTTTTTCTCAGTGTGTACAATTCTATGTTCCTGGAGCAATGAGTTGGAACTAAACACCTTCTGACAAATCTCACATTGGTATGTTTTTTTGTCCTTGTGTATGGTTCTATGTTTCTGGAGCAATGAATTGGAACTGAACACCTTCTGACAAATCTCACATTGGTATGTTTTTTTGTCCTTGTGTATGGTTCTATGTTTCTGGAGCACCACATTGGAACTAAACACCTTCTGACAGATTTTAGACTTGTATGTTTTTTTGCCAATGTGTATAGTAAGATGTCCCTGTAATCTCTCCATACGCATAAACCTCTTACCACAGATATTGCATCTGTAAATCTTTTCCCGATTTTGACTTTTTCCACTTCCCTTATTTGGTATTCTTTCTGTTTGAACAACGGACATATTCCCTCTTTCTTTTGATTCGGATCCCTAGAAAAAATTTAAAAAAAATGAAGTCAATTAGTGCAAACAAAAGCAATTTGTACAGTGCGAAAATCAATTCTATATCGATAACTTACAATGACCATGACCTCCAACATTCAAACGCAATCCAAAGTAAGCACTTTCCACAAACAAGAGGCCCCTGGGCCTTAATGGTCATCTGAATATAAGACCTATGACATGAAAGAGGCAAAATAGACCTAAAATAAATTGCTCAACTACTCTACAGCTTACATAGAAGACATTGTTGGTTCATCGAGACATTTTCTGCAAACTTGAAATTATATTCTTACACACATTCATGCACTACACAATTGATATATTGCTTGTTGAAAAACCAAGCTACAGGCCCAATATCAAGACCTTTGGCCTTTTGGTTATTGAAAAGGAGTTGCTTAAGCATTTCAACACATTTGACCTCTGTGACCTTTAAAGTTGGTCTAATATCCGTACCCTGGGCCTTTTGGTTATTGAGAAGAAGTCATTTAAACATTTTAACACATTTGATACCTATGACCTTGAAAGTGGGTCAATGTCATTCATGTTAACAAACTTGGTAGCCCTACATCCTAGCATGCTACCAGGCCTAATATTATCATACTGGGTCCTTGGGTTATTGAGAGGAAGTTGCTTAAACAGTTCAAGCTAGTTGACCACTGTGACATTGAAAGTTGTCCAATATCGGCACCCTGGTCCTAAAGGTCCCTAGGAGTCAAATCAAGTTTCTTAATTCAAGAAATGATTCTCCACTCTCAATGATGTTTCAGACTGAATTTAGTCGAAACCCATTCAAGAATTGAAAAGGAGTAGTGTTTTGAAGCAAAATTTTGGATCATTTTTACCTTTTGGGGTCCTGCCCTTAAGTCCCAAGGGGTCGAATCAACTTCCTGATCTGATGATGGTAGGCTAAAAGTACATTCTTGCGTCATTGAATGAATTTATAACTTGATGTAATCATACAGAAGTGGAGTATGGGTAGAGCTGTTACCATATATTGATATATCGCTATTGCAGAAGCAAGACATCATGATACCATGAACATTTTCTGATTTGCGATATTACCGCCAACAACAAATTAAGCACTAAGGATGGATCACAATGGCTGTAATCAATTTGTATCAATAACAACTGACCTTTCAATTTATTTGAATTGTTTATATCGGTATATCAAAGTAATTAAGTACAGAATAACATGTCTAAATTAGATTAAGAAATATCATCAGTGACACGATCATTGAAGCAGATCATTTTCAGTAGCTGCGAGGCGTCTTTTTAGCTAGGCCTCAAAAAATCTGAATCATTAACAGGATGAATCCAATGGTCAATCTATCAAGATTTTCGGTTTTTAATTACTATTAAAAACGTCAGCAGTGACAATGCGTCATGTCTTCAATTATCAAGTTCCGATGACCGAGGGACAAATCATGTTTAGATGTCAGGTAAAGATAAAGGATAGCAAAATTTGAGATGCCAATGCTGTATTCCCTAATATTGGGAAATTACACAGATGACAGATGTCACAATGTGTATACATCAAAATATTATTAAAGATGCTTAAAGTACTTGAAAGATACTTTAGGGATAATGTGAATGTAAAAGACAGTGCCTTAGAAATCTACAAGGGATTCAAGCTTGAAAACGATGATGACAAAGATGTCACAGATGTTATTGATAAATTCAAGAAGTTTGAAATGTATCAACAGTACATATCTAACAACAAGACCAAGAAGACAGGTGAGACTATTGATGCACCTGTTTATGATCTCGGACAAAGATGTCACAGATGTTATTGATAAATTCAAGAAGTTTGAAATGTATCAACAATACATATTTAACAACAAGACCAAGAAGACAGGTGAGACTATTGATGCACCTGTTTATGATCTCGGACAAAGATGTCACAGATGTTATTGATAAATTCAAGAAGTTTGAAATGTATCAACAACACATATTTAACAACAAGACCAAGAAGACAGGTGAGACTATTGATGCACCTGTTTATGATCTCGGACAAAGATGTCACAGATGTTATTGATAAATTCAAGAAGTTTGAAATGTATCAACAATACATATCTAACAACAAGACCAAGAAGACAGGTGAGACTATTGATGCACCTGTTTATGATCTCGGACAAAGATGTCACAGATGTTATTGATAAATTCAAGAAGTTTGAAATGTATCAACAATATATATTTAACAACAAGACCAAGAAGACAGGTGAGACTATTGATGCACCTGTTTATGATCTCTGGTGAAATCACGCAACTATGCATCCCTCAAGGACAGAATAATTATTGGTATTCGCGACAATATGAAAGAAACCATTACAATACTCCAAACTTACCTCGACAACCTGTTTAGACATCTGCTGAGTAGCTGAGAAATCTAGCAAACAAAATTGAAGAAACCTTACAGAAGGAGGCCGTGTAGGAGAAAGTACAATAGGTCTAACAGTAATAATAATTAATGTACACAGACATAGAAGTCAGACACAGAGTGCAAAGAATGCAAGTTCTGTGGAGGTGCCATGCCTGAGGAAGGAAGTGTAACAAATGCCATGGTACAAACCATTTAGTAGTTAATTAACTCAAGGGAGAGAACTCGCAACAAAAGTATGGTATAGCATACACAATATCATCTAAATAATGATTTTGTATTCGCTGTTGAAACTGAAATATGAAAGAACAATTGATCATTGCACTGGTGACTACGAGTGTGGGGAATGGTGATTTCCAATTACACTGTGAAGTCATGTCCATATGTTTTCTTGCAATGACAAGATCTTGATATAGCTCTACCACAGCAATGACATGATGTTCATCTAAGGGAGGTAACTCTAACAGTACCTTGGTATTGAGTACTGATTTGTCTTTCGTCTCCGAGATAACACGGTGATGCAGACGAAAATCTCATTTAACCAATCAATCAGTTTTCAAAAACAACTTCATTTAGATTTACATCAACACGGAATGACTCCTTTTTATTTTCTTTGTTTAAACTTTGTTTCAGCCTCTGTCGGTTCCAAGTCAAAAATAAAATACCATTACAAGATAGCCTTAACTTCAGATCATAAATGATGTGAATTTGTGTGGCGATCGGTCACGCAAGAATGACCATATCACAAGCGTTTACTTGTGGCAACGCCGGTATATTCAGGTGGACAGAAACCTCGGTAAATGTTAGAACACAGGTCGACAACCACCTTTATACGAGGCATAGGAACCCAGAAAGTAATCGGTCATGGTCTGCCATTTTTTCTTTCAGCATATGTCATAGAAAGGATGTCTGTACCCTTATATGCACGATGCCACCGAGTTACATACACCACACAAGTTTACATTGCCCTCATACTGTTCATGAATACAAGAAGACTGTATTGCATACAACAAATTTCCTAATGAGACTTACTCTCGGAATCCTGATACTTCTCGCCTTTTTTCAGCTCAATGTTATTTTTTGATATGCACGTGCTAATTTGTGCCATTCCGTTAACCTCCCGATTTGGTATTGACAGTCAAAGGCAGTCGCATGTCTTCCTTTTATTTCAGAAGCAGACAAACTCTGACATATTCATGTCTGTTAACTGTATTTAAAAATTACTCATTTAATAGGCTAGCTATCAATGTATATCTTTTATTCTAGACATAGCAACTGGTAATCAGCTTCCTCCATGTTAAGATGTCTCTGAATATTAACCAATCAACTAAAGCGTTTTGTGTTGGTTTCAGCCAATGAGAATGAACTTTACATCGTGGAACGGAACTTAAAATTGTTTACATGATGGTGGACTTGGATTTGACTTGCTGAACCGGAGAGTGCAAAATATTTTATTGTTGAATACTGAATTACCACGGTAAGTTAAAACCAGTAAGATAAATCTATTATAACTTTTATTATAGTAAGCACGTGTTGTGCCACAGGTAAAATAGACACAAGTAATGAAACAAACTTTACCGCTGAAATATATAGCGAGCGTGTCGCAGCTTGCTTCAATCATGTTCTGTTGAGTAAAAATCCTAACGTTCTACATAGCATTAAACATCAGATGCATCAAATTTGTTATAGAAAATAATGTCGCTGTTATGGGGTAAACAAGTCTTCTGTAGACACAATATTAAGGTTAAGACGTCGCAACCAAATGGACTTCTACCAAGTAAAATAGAATCGCGGATAGATAGTAGAAACCTTTCGGACTACATGTACAATGCAGGAACTGGTAGTCCTAGCTAAAAGTCCTCAGATATGTATATCAGATTTGAACGTAATTGAAATTCAGTTCTATTTTTCACGTTTAAATTAAAGTATGGATTCTTCTTATCAGTATATTCTTCTAGGATTTTCTGATAAGCATAGAATATTATAGAGTATCTATATTAGTGCTTTTAACTAATCAAAAACGATTCAAAGTGTAGATTTTCCATGGAAAGATTTTATTTGAGGATAGTGTCTAAAGATAAACAAAGTATCAGGGAACTCCAGAAATTTATATTGGACTTATGAATACTCTGACAATGTTAGAGGTTTACATAATGAGGAACTTATGACAGGTGCTTTGTTGTAGACAGCACACATAACAATTCATCCGACTAGTGGCCTCTTATGTTATTAGAAAAATTAGATAGTAATTAGTTCATTTTATAGTCCTAATAGTCTATGTAAAAGGAGATTCCATGAATTCTGCATAAATATATATTTGTCATAAAAATATGTGAAATGTTCTATTACAAATTCCAGCATTAATGCTTATTATAAAGAGTAAGGAAGGTAAGTTAAACCATAGAATTTGAGAGAAAACAGACTTTGTAAATTTTGTCCTTGTGTGAAAAGTGAAGCCTATATTTTTAAGTAAATTTCCAATGTACATTCATCCCTTTTTTCTGCGTTGTTATATTATTAGGTCAGCAATGATGTCAAAGTAAATCATCTTGTTTGCTATTACTTGTTCCAAATAAAAAAATATGAATAAATGCAAATTCATAAGAGATGCTGTACACGTCAAAGACAATGTAGGATGTTACTACATGAAATGTGATGCTGAATATTGATGGCATTATTCCATTCTAATAAAGAATAAAGTTTGACCAAAGCTTGTAAACAGGACCAAGAATATTTATACTCTATGTATGTTTCTGTAAAGCAATATACGAATAAATAATGTACATAAACACCATTTCCTTCCAAAATCTTGTTAGTTATTGTATATCGCATTCTTCAGTACTATGAGTCATCTAAGATAATCCAATTTTCAGTGATCTAAAACAGGACTTCCACATAACTAACATCGCCAACAAGACGAACAAACCAGAAATCTATTGTACATGATTTGAATATTTGTAAATTTTTCTTAAATTTGTTCTCCAAACTTCAAAGCCTTACTGAAAAATAAAATCTTATTTTCAAAAGTCGTGTATAAAATGTCAACATAGATATATAAGATCCTTACATTTATTTCACATGTACAATGTACTCAGTACATTTCAGTTTGAATTTTTCTATTTTGTTTTAATTCCTAGATGTCGTCTAATGGTTCATTAAGCCTCCCAGATGCTCCCCCAGATTCTCCTGGGAGTTCGGTGTCCACTAGACTTATGGTAAGTGTACTTCAGATGCTGTTGGGAGCTCAGTGTCCACTAGACTTAAGGTAAGTGTGTTTCAGATTCTGCTGGGAGTTCAGTGTTCACTAGACTTAAGGTAAGTGTGCTTCAGATTCAGCTGGGAGTTCAGTGTCCATTAGACATATGGTAAGTGTGCTTCAGATTCTGCTGGGAGTTCAGTGTCCACTAAACTTATGGTAAGTGTGCTTCAGATTCAGCTGGGAGTTCAGTGTCCACTAGACTTATGGTAAGTGTGCTTCAGACTTGCTCTGGAGCTCTTGTTGTTCATTGCTCTCTATGTGTGGTGGTGAGTGTTTCCAGTAAGCAGAGAGACAGACCAGTCTGTGCTGTTGTCATTGTGTCCTTGGGCAAGAAACTGGATGACCTATAGAATTGGGCCCTTAGAATTGGGAAAAATAGCTGCGTTTTCCTTGGAATTGGAAAACCTGGGGTCTAAATTGAGAAAAAAAAAGATATTAATTTGCATTGGGAATGGGGCCGAATGTCGGCCCCAAATCTGACAGATCGAGAGCCCTGATGGAACTCAGAACAATTTTCAACACTTGCTTGACCTTAAATTGACCAATATAGCCCTGGTCAGCTTAAACCACATTGAGTAATTGATGTGGGATGTTAGTTTCTCCAATAGCTGTTCCAGACTGAGTTTTATATGTTTTAGGAGGAGTATGAGGAACTTTTGAAATATGCGGTTGTTGTCCCAAGCTATAACATAAATAAATTGCCTCACACCCTGGTCGACCATCGTGACTCCTTTCCACAGCCTGAGACCCTGGTCACTGTTACCAGGCAACCAAAAGGTAAATATTTACTTATGTTTAATAATACATTTCATTCTAAACTGTTTAAAAAGACAATTTAAAGAGTGATCTTAAAACACAAATAACTCCAATTCCTGTTTGTTTTTTTTTTTACATCAGAAATGACTTTAAAATGTCCTAACAATATTACTGCTTGTGAAGGGCAATGATCATTTAGAAAATGGGTTCTGCAAATAGGATAAATGGGTTGTTGACATTGATAAAGTCTAGTACAGAAATTCTAATAAATGTTGTGTAATGTCAATTAGTGCTTACATCAGAGGCTGAGCCTAGGGGAGAGGCTGGATCAGATGCCGAGTCTGAAGCAAGTCTGGTTGTCAAGGTAACAAGGGAGACAGGTCTGCCAGATTTTGGTCAGAGTCCTATACAACGTAAACTAGACCTCAGGGACAGTGACTCCGCTCATACACAGGGTGAGGGTTTGTTTATCAGTAATTTTATGAAAACAACATTATTAACGTGATTATTTTTTATATTACATATACATAATACATGTAATATCTAGCTGAGTGAATTCCCTTTGCCCTGTTTTAAGATTTTATTCAGAGGGTCCTCACTGTGGGACTATACAACACTATCAAAAATTCTAATGTGAAACTTTGTGTCTCTAAATATTTCCTACTTAATGTGAAACATTTGAAATTGGAAATATGAAGTGTCTTCACAAAAAGACTAAGTAAGTGCAAAAATGATGTTTCGAGAACAAATGATAAAACAATAAATGATAACTTTGTAGAGGAGGAGTTGGAGAAAGTTCCTGGTCGTCTGTTTACTGCATCTGCCAAGGATGTAATGCATGAGGTAAATATGTCAGACTTGGAGGACAGGGAAATCTTCACCTCATCCGTCGACCCTGACGTCAACAAGATGGAGAATCTTCTGGACCAGTGGTGTCTCGACTTGAAGAGAAACGTCCTGGTAATGGTGGTTGTTTTCTTATGATTTAGAAGATAAATTGAGATATCTCTTCAGACAAAATACATATTTACAAATCTTCAGCTTTTGTCAAAAGTCAAGACATATCTTCTGTTGTTGTCAATAGACATTTACTTACCTTCAGATATTGTCAATAGACATTTACTTACCTTCTTGTATTGTCAATAGACATTTACTTACCTTCTGTTATTGTCAATAGACATTTACTTACCTTCTGGTGTTGTCAATAGACATTTACTTACCTTCTTGTATTGTCAATAGACATTTACATACCTTCTTGTATTGTCAATAGACATTTACTTACCTTCTGTTATTGTCAATAGACATTTACTTACCTTCTTGTATTGTCAATAGACATTTACTTACCTTCAGGTGTTGTCAATAGACATTTACTTACCTTCAGGTGTTGTCAATAGACATTTACTTACCTTCAGGTGTTGTCAATAGACATTTACTTACCTTCAGATATTGTCAATAGACATTTACTTACCTTCAGGTGTTGTCAATAGACATTTACTTACCTTCAGACATTGACAACAGATGTTGACAGACCTTCAGACATTGACAACAGATGTTGACAGACCTTCAGACATTGACAACAGATGTTGACAGACCTTCAGACATTGACAACAGATGTTGACAGACCTTCAGACATTGACAACAGATGTTGACAGACCTTCAAACATTGACAACAGACAGACCTTCGGGCATGGACAACAGAAGTTGATAGACCTTCAGACATTGACAACAGATGTTGACAGACCTTCAGACATTGACAACAGATGTTGGCAGACCTTCAGACCTTGACCGATGTTGATAGACCTTGATGTATTGACTACTGTAAAGCTTCATAATTTTATTCAGATTGACACTCCACCAAGTGGAACATTAAATTTTATACAACATCAATTTGTGTCATACTTTTTGCAGGCAGAATATGGGCAGTCGAAGATAAGAATTGTAGAGCTGAGACGACAACAAATGCTCCGTGCACAAGAGAAGTAAGTTGACCGACAGGATGGCAGACTTATTGTATAAGATTAACATGATTTGTATATCATTAGGTCATCTGACTGAAGGGTCTGATGACCTATTGCGATTACCTTTTTCCGGCTGCATCCGTCATCCGTCGTAAACATTTTCAACTTCTTCTCAAGTTCTACATGTCTCATTGAGCTGAAACTTATCTGAAAGGATCGTGACATGATCTTGACCAAAGTTTGTTAATTTTGGGTTGGTTCGAAATCCAACATGGCCGCCATCTTGAAAACACATTTTCGACTTCTTCTCGAGTTCAAAATTTGAAATCTTGTATTTTATGTCTGATGACCATTAAGGCCTCTTGTTATGTGTCAATGTTTCATACAGTTTGTGTACTTAATACTGGTGGATTTTCTGAAAACAAACATGGTAGTAATTCTTGACATTAGTATTAGAAGTGTTATTTCTGGTTTGTAAATTTCTATCATTTATAGTGATGAATTTTACTGTTTGCATTAAGATTGCGTCTGATTAGATGTTCAGGTATGTACATATATATTAAATAATTTGATAATAACAGTTATGATTACTTCTGGATGGTCGCAGTTACACTTAGCACTTACACCTTGGAAAGCTGTTTTGTTTCCATGTGAGGTTTTCTGGGTACTGGATTCGCTCCTACAGTAAGACCCCTCCCACGCATTGGAGCCAACAAGAGTGAATAATATAAGTTGGAATGACTTGTTTCACAGTTTCTTGTAATAATAAATAAAGGTTGATGGTCCATTATGGCGTCTATAGCTAGGAGTTGGCAGGAGGTACAGACAGTATAATCATTTGGAAATGTTTATATATAAAACAGCTTTTATTGATAAAATGTTGAACTGGTTGTAGACATGCGAGTGAGATGACTGCCCTTCAGAACGAGGTTGAGAGCATGAAGGAGTTGTTGCACACCTACGAACAGTCAATATCACGTAAAGATCAGGTGATCTCCAACATGACACATGCCCTTCAGAAACAACGGGAACGCCATGACTTGCTGAAAAAGTTCAGTGAATGGAAGATTAAACATAATGACCTGAAACGAGAGGTGAAATTTTCTTAATCACTGGAGTTTACTTAGTGATATTTAATTTACACTAAAGTTTACTAAGGAATATTTACACTTAAGTTACTGTGGGAATATTTACACTAACGTTTACTGAGGGAATATTTACACTCAAGTTTACTGAGGGAATATTTACACTCAAGTTTACTGAGGGATATTAACACAAAAGTTTACTGAAGAATATTTACACTCAAGTTTACTGAGGGATATTAACACTAAAGTTTACTGAAGAATATTTACACTCAAGTTTACTGAGAGATATTAACACTAAAGTTTACTGAAGAATATTTACACTCAAGTTTACTGTGGGATATTAACACTAAAGTTTACTTAAGAATATTCATTACACATAGCTAAATTTGTAAGCAGCTTCTCATGGAAATTTCCAGCATCTCTGAATAATTACAAGGATGGATTGGATTTTAAAACAAAATTCATCAGATGGTTGCCTGTTCATATTGCTCTTCATCTTTGGTCCATCATTCATCCTTAAGAAATTCTTGTTTCCATTTTTTCTTGAAAAAAACTTGATGGAGTTTTCTCAGATTCCACACATAGGCTCCCCTTTGGATTTTTGATTTTGTGACTGATCAGAGAAACAAAATGGCTGACAGTGGCCATCTTTGATTTGACAGTTATGGATTATCATTTCTGTTCTTTCAAATTACCTACATATTGTGAAGGGGAGAAAAAGAAGGGAAAATTTCAGAAAATGAAAATCCGACAATGATAGGCACCAACATTCTTTTGGGAACTCTTGTGTTGATTTCAGGTAAGCTAAAATTTCATTCCACAATACACCTAAAAAAATGTGGGCGTGCTATAATCTGTTATGTTTTATTTGTAGAAATTTGCCAGCCAATTGGCTGCTAAGCACCATGAAAGAAAGCTTACCCGCAATGTTTGGGATGCCTGGCACTCTGTGATCGAGTCCAAATGGCGTAACCGTGTGGAACGCGCTTGTCAGAGTAAAGCTCAAGAAGTCTGTATGTCCCTAACTAACAACTACGAGGCAAAGATAGCATCGGTAAGTATCAGTGTGAATTTCACCCTCTTATACTGTCAACAAAACAAGGAATTTCATTGAAATGAGAGTATGACATCTATAATAAGTTTGTAAGATTTGGCAGTAGAGAGATCTGTGGACATGTTTTCACAGAAAATCAGGTCCCAGGGCAGGGCTCTCACACCCATTTTGGGACTGGGGCCTGGGGCCCTTAGAATTGGGGAAAATAGTGGCGTTTTCCTTAGAATAGGGTAAACTTGGGGTCTAAATTGAGAAAAAAAGATACTATTTTGCATTTGTTATTCGGCCCCAAATCTGGCAGATCAAGAGTCCTGCAGGGGTTATACTACATATATCACAAACCAGAACTGGAGATGGGGGTTGTTTGAAATCTGTATTATTGTCAGAACTCTTAGTAAGTTGTTCAATATTTAACATGTTGTGCTGTAAATTTTCTTATCTTAAAGGATTCTCTTTTCTGTCTTTTGTATAATGGAATTAACACAAAGAAAAAAGAGATTTTTGTACTTTGAACATAAAACATAAAAAGTTGTGGTCTGTTCCAGAACTTTTACAAAACATGCATCTTTTTGGCATCAGATTTGTGGTTCAGTTGTGAAGACAGTTACAACTGTTATACTAAAGGGAAAAAAACACCTCTTAAATTAAAGGCCAACTAATAGAAACCCAAAAAAGATGGAACTTTCTAAATATATGTCTATAATAACAGTACAGAATTAATTCATAACTCAAAGGTTACTCAAAGGTCGAGTATTTCCTTAGTACATGTATTTGGTTACTATAGTACATGTATTTGGTTACGTACATGTATTTGGTTACTACTTTAGTACATGTATTTGGTTACTATAGTACATGTATTTGGTTACTTCAGTACATGTATTTGGTTACTTCAGTACATGTATTTGGTTACTTCAGTACATGTATTTGGTTACTTCAGTACATGTATTTGGTTACTTTAGTACATGTAATTTGGTTACATACATGTATTTGGTTACTATAGTACATGTATTTGGTTACGTACATGTATTTGGTTACGTACATGTATTTGGTTACGTACATGTATTTGGTTGCTACTTTAGTACATGTATTTGGTTACTATAGTACATGTATTTGGTTGCTACTTTAGTACATGTATTTGGTTACTATAGTACATGTATTTGGTTACTTTTGTACATGTATTTGGTTGCTACTTTAGTACATGTATTTGGTTACTACTTTAGTACATGTATTTGGTTGCTACTTTAGTACATGTATTTGGTTACTATAGTACATGTATTTGGTTGCTACTTTAGTACATGTATTTGGTTACTATAGTACATGTATTTGGTTGCTACTTTAGTACATGTATTTGGTTACTACTTTAGTACATGTATTTGGTTACTACTTTAGTACATGTATTTGGTTGCTACTTTAGTACATGTAATTGGTTACTACTTTAGTACATGTATTTGGTTACTTCAGTACATGTATTTGGTTACGTACATGTATTTGGTTGCGTACATGTATTTGGTTACTATAGTACATGTATTTGGTTGCTTTAGTACATGTATTTGGTTACTACTTTAGTACATGTATTTGGTTACTTTAGTACATGTATTTGGTTACTTTAGTACATGTATTTGGTTGCTACTTTAGTACATGTATTTGGTTACTTTAGTACATGTATTTGGTTACTTTTGTACATGTATTTGGTTGCTACTTTAGTACATGTATTTGGTTGCTACTTTAGTACATGTATTTGGTTACTACTTTAGTACATGTATTTGGTTACTACTTTAGTACATGTATTTGGTTACTACTTCAGTACATGTATTTGGTTACTACTTCAGTACATGTATTTGGTTACGTACATGTATTTGGTAACTACTTTAGTACATGTATTTGGTTTCTACTTTAGTACATGTATTTGGTTTCTACTTTAGTACATGTATTTGGTTACTACTTTAGTACATGTATTTGGTTACTTTAGTACATGTATTTGGTTACTTCAGTACATGTATTTGGTTACTTTAGTACATGTATTTGGTTTCTACTTTAGTACATGTATTTGGTTTCTACTTTAGTACATGTATTTGGTTACTACTTTAGTACATGTATTTGGTTACTTTAGTACATGTATTTGGTTACTTCAGTACATGTATTTGGTTACTACTTTAGTACATGTATTTGGTTACTACTATAGTACATGTATTTGGTTACTTCAGTACATGTATTTGGTTACTTCAGTACATGTATTTGGTTACTTCAGTACATGTATTTGGTTACTTCAGTACATGTATTTGGTTACTACTTTAGTACATGTATTTGGTTACTACTTTAGTACATGTATTTGGTTACTACTTTAGTACATGTATTTGGTTACTTCAGTACATGTATTTGGTTACTTTAGTACATGTATTTGGTTACTTTAGTACATGTATTTGGTTACTACTTTAGTACATGTATTTGGTTACTTCAGTACATGTATTTGGTTACTACTTCAGTACATGTATTTGGTTACTGTAGTACATGTATTTGGTTACTGTAGTACATGTATTTGGTTACTTCAGTACATGTATTTGGTTACTTTAGTACAATGTATTTGGTTACTTCAGTACATGTATTTGGTTACTTCAGTACATGTTTTTGGTTACTTCAGTACATGTATTTGGTTACTTCAGTACATGTATTTGGTTACTTCAGTACATGTATTTGGTTACTTTAGTACATGTATTTGGTTACTACTTTAGTACATGTATTTGGTTACTTCAGTACATGTATTTGGTTACTTTAGTACATGTATTTGGTTTCTACTTCAGTACATGTATTTGGTTACTTCAGTACATGTATTTGGTTACTTTACTATATGTATTTGGTTACTTCAGTACATGTATTTGGTTACTTTACTACATGTATTTGGTTACTTCAGTACATGTATTTGGTTACTACTTTTTATTGTAAATATGAACTTGTTTCTATCATGTATTTTTCACCGGTATCTTCTTGATGGTAGTAAACATGTGAATTAATGCTTTTGCATTGAAAGCTGAATGAAGCCCTCGAAGCATCCAGAATGGAAGTGTCCAAACTTCACACTGAGAGAGATAATTACGAGGAAGGCATGAAGAAGGCATTCATGAGAGGTGTATGTGCACTCAATCTAGAGGCCATGACTATGTTTCAGTCAGGAGAAAACCCTCAGCCAGGTACACAAATTTGTCATCGTTTAGTGATTAATTCTTCATATGATAGTTATAGTATTCATTTGTCCAGAAATCATCCCCTTTTTAAAACCTTGTATCCTTTTCTCTCTGACATGATGGATACTGGGCAGTTTATATATTGTAAACATACTTCATTTCCCACAATCAAACTTTCTGGCATTATCATTTTTTTTTTTTTTTGGCAAATTGGCACAAATTTTGAAATTGTACATTTTCAATAATCGCTATATAACATTATATAGAACCTGCAAGTAGTACAGTCATCTTTTAGAGTAAAACTTCAAGTGTGAAAAGTGCTTAAATACCTCAGTTTGATCAAAGCTACAGGTTTTTGTTGTTGATTTAGTTTAATCCCGTATTATTTTTCTTCATAAAGTTAGAAACGTCTTTCACATAGCCACTTTCGTCCCTCAGAAGGTGATATGATGGAAATAACCAAATTTATCCAGCAATAAGCCTCGTAGTAAGCCCACCTATATCTGTTATTCTTAAAAGACTTATTAACACAATATCTCATTGCCTGTAATAAGCCCGTTTATATTTGTTGTTCGTCAACAGACTGATTAACACAATATCTCATTGGCCTGTAATAAGAACACCCATATCTGTTGTTCTTCAACAGACTTATCAACACAATATCTCATAGGCCTGTAATAAGCCCACCCATATCTGTTGTTCTTCAACAGACTTATCAACACAATATCTCATAGGCTTGTAATAAGCCCACCCATATCTGTTGTTCTTCAACAGACTTATCAACACAATATCTCATTGGCCTGTAATAAGCCCACCCATATCTGTTGTTCTTCAACAGACTTATCAACACAATATCTCATTGGCCTGTAATAAGCCCACCCATATCTGTTGTTCTTCAACAGACTTATCAACACAATATCTCATTGTCCTGTAATAAGCCCACCCTCTGAATTTGAGTATGAGGTAATACGTTGTCACACCTCGATTTATTGCTGGAAAAATATGGTTCCTAGATATGTTGAAATAAGCTTTTATCTAAAAGATTTTGATAATTGTAGGTGCTGAAGACCAAGCCTACTCTGACAACCTGGAGTCCAGTATCCCAGAAAAAGATATGAGCGCACCAAAAACCATTCCTCAGGAGGCTGTGTACCAGTCCCAGCAGAGGTCCCAACAACCTCCTGCCAAAGTCATCACTAGTCAGGCCACAAGGTCATCTACCCTGTCTAGTATGGCTCAGTCTAAACAGGCAGTAAGTATCTGTCTCCATCCCCAACAAACTCTTGTCTAGGTTGTCACTTCTCAAGTCACAAGGTGTGTTCCCACCCCCAACAAACCTCTGTCAAGGTCATCATTACTCCAGCCACAAGGTCATCTAGTCCAGAAAGTGTGTGTTCCCACCCCCATCAAACCTATGTCAAGGAGGTCACTTCTCAGGCCACAAGTTTTTCTAAATCAGACATTGTGTGACCTTGCCCCCAAACAAGCTGCTGACAAGGTCATCAGCAGTCAGACCTCAAGGCTGTCTATACCCTGACAGTATGGCTCAGTTTAAGCAGACATTAAGTGTGTGTACATATACTGACTTTCTCATGTCAGATCCAATGTCACATATATAGCATAATCTATTTCTACCTGTGAAATCCCAGTGGAAGTTTTCAACAACAAGGTCAGAAGTGTATTCATATTAGGATTCACACACCTAAATGTGGACTTTTTTCTTCTAAAATGTCATGACAATTTATGTTGTCTGTTGTAATAATTAGATGTCATCTGGTAATATCTTATATTTTGAATTAAAACTGAAACTGGACTAACTTAATCGAAATTTTAGATAAATGTAATATCTAGAACAGGCTACCAAGAAAGTGTTGTTACATGTCTTAGTGTTCAATATGGATGATTGAAACTTCATTTCAAACTTGTGTTCAAGTAGTCAAAACAAGACTTTGTAGATATCTTAGTCGAACTTTTGATTGACAGGCGAGTGGTAAGGTGTCCAGAGAGACATTGTAAGGCCAGTGGTAAGGTGTCCAGAGAGACATTGTTAGGCTAGTGGTAAGGTGTCCAGAGAGACATTGTTAGACTAGTGGTAAGGTGTCCAGAGAGACATTGTTAGACTAGTGGTAAGGTGTCCAGAGAGACATTGTTAGGCTAGTGGTAAGGTGTCCAGAGAGACATTGTTAGACTAGTGGTAAGGTGTCCAGAGAGACATTGTTAGGCTAGTGGTAAGGTGTCCAGAGAGACATTGTTAGACTAGTGGTAAGGTGTCCAGAGAGACATTGTTAGACTAGTGGTAAGGTGTCCATTGTTAGACTAGAGACATTGTTAGACTAGTGGTAAGGTGTCCAGAGAGACATTGTTAGGCTAGTGGTAAGGTGTCCAGAGAGACATTGTTAGACTAGTGGTAAGGTGTCCAGAGAGACATTGTTAGACTAGTGGTAAGGTGTCCAGAGAGACATTGTTAGACTAGTGGTAAGGTGTCCAGAGAGACATTGTTAGGCCAGTGGTAAGGTGTCCAGAGAGACATTGTTAGGCCAGTGGTAAGGTGTCCAGAGAGACATTGTTAGACTAGTGGTAAGGTGTCCAGAGAGACATTGTTAGACTAGTGGTAAGGTGTCCAGAGAGACATTGTTAGACTAGTGGTAAGGTGTCCAGAGAGACATTGTTAGGTGGTAAGGTGTCCAGAGATTGTTAGACAGTGGTAAGGTGTCCAGAGAGACATTGTTAGGCTAGTGGTAAGGTGTCCAGAGAGACATTGTTAGACTAGTGGTAGAGAGACATTGTTAGACTAGTGGTAAGGTGTCCAGAGAGACATTGTTAGACTAGTGGTAAGGTGTCCAGAGAGACATTGTTAGACTAGTGGTAAGGTGTCCAGAGAGACATTGTTAGACTAGTGGTAAGGTGTCCAGAGAGACATTGTTAGACTAGTGGTAAGGTGTCCAGAGAGACATTGACAGGCCAGTGGTAAGGTGTCCAGAGAGACATTGTTAGGCTAGTGGTAAGGTGTCCAGAGAGACATTGTTAGGCTAGTGGTAAGGTGTCCAGAGAGACATTGTTAGACTAGTGGTAAGGTGTCCAGAGAGACATTGTTAGACTAGTGGTAAGGTGTCCAGAGAGACATTGTTAGACTAGTGGTAAGGTGTCCAGAGAGACATTGTTAGACTAGTGGTAAGGTGTCCAGAGAGACATTGTTAGACTAGTGGTAAGGTGTCCAGAGAGACATTGTTAGGCTAGTGGTAAGGTGTCCAGAGAGACATTGTTAGACTAGTGGTAAGGTGTCCAGAGAGACATTGTTAGACTCGTGGTAAGGTGTCCAGAGAGACATTGTTAGACTAGTGGTAAGGTGTCCAGAGAGACATTGTTAGACTAGTGGTAAGGTGTCCAGAGAGACATTGTTAGACTAGTGGTAAGGTGTCCAGAGAGACATTGTTAGACTAGTGGTAAGGTGTCCAGAGAGACATTGTTAGGCCAGTGGTAAGGTGTCCAGAGAGATGACAAACTAATGCCAGTGGTAAGGTGTCCAGAGAGACATTGTTAGACTAGTGGTAAGGTGTCCAGAGAGACATTGTTAGGCTAGTGGTAAGGTGTCCAGAGAGACATTGTTAGACTAGTGGTAAGGTGTCCAGAGAGACATTGTTAGACTAGTGGTAAGGTGTCCAGAGAGACATTGTTAGGCCAGTGGTAAGGTGTCCAGAGAGACATTGTTAGACTAGTGGTAAGGTGTCCAGAGAGACATTGTTAGGCTAGTGGTAAGGTGTCCAGAGAGACATTGTTAGACTAGTGGTAAGGTGTCCAGAGAGACATTGTTAGACTAGTGGTAAGGTGTCCAGAGAGACATTGTTAGACTAGTGGTAAGGTGTCCAGAGAGACATTGTAAGGCCAGTGGTAATGTGTCCAGAGAGACATTGTTAGGCTAGTGGTAAGGTGTCCAGAGAGACATTGTTAGGCCAGTGGTAAGGTGTCCAGAGAGACATTGTTAGGCTAGTGGTAAGGTGTCCAGAGAGACATTGTTAGACTAGTGGTAAGGTGTCCAGAGAGACATTGTTAGAGAGACAGTGGTAAGGTGTCCAGAGAGAGACTAGTGTTAGAGAGACATTGTTAGTGTGGTAAGGTGTCCAGAGAGACATTGTTAGACTAGTGGTAAGGTGTCCAGAGAGACATTGTTAGACTAGTGGTAAGGTGTCCAGAGAGACATTGACAGGCCAGTGGTAAGGTGTCCAGAGAGACATTGTTAGGCTAGTGGTAAGGTGTCCAGAGAGTCATTGTTAGTCTAGTGGTAAGGTGTCCAGAGAGACATTGTTAGACTAGTGGTAAGGTGTCCAGAGAGACATTGTTAGACTAGTGGTAAGGTGTCCAGAGAGACATTGTTAGACTAGTGGTAAGGTGTCCAGAGAGACATTGTTAGACTAGTGGTAAGGTGTCCAGAGAGACATTGTTAGACTAGTGGTAAGGTGTCCAGAGAGACATTGTTAGACTAGTGGTAAGGTGTCCAGAGAGACATTGTTAGACTAGTGGTAAGGTGTCCAGAGAGACATTGTAAATATCTTAGTCGAACTTTTGATTGACAGGCCAGTGGTAAGGTGTCTGGGGCACACAAAGGGAAGGTGATTTCTGCACGCATGACAGCAAAGGTTGACTCTGGCCGCTCAGGTCTTGGAGGACCTTCAGGAACGACAGTAGCGCCACCTATGAGCTCAGTTATTGTAGAGCGACATCAATCTGTTAATAAGGTAAATATAAAATTTCTATAACATGCAGAACTTTCCATCAATAGGGATGATTGAGAATATTACTGATAACCTAGTCTTCTGATCTCCTGCTTTCACTTTCCTGCTTTCACTTTCCATATATATTGTGTTGGTCTTCTGTGAGAATGTTTCTTTGAGTTATAGGACCTATTGAATAATTGATGAAGACATGACCTTTCACTGGTATATCTTGTTTTCAACAGAGCAAAGTGGTTTGAGGGTATGGCGGGTGGGGGGGATTACAACAGTTTAAAAAGGAATGCTAAAATACATTGTAAAAAGACTATAGGTCAAGTCACTACTTCCTGTGACAAATAACTGGACACTTAACTTTGAATTAATTTTACCATTTACAGCAGACTATTGGCCAAGCCACAGCGTCTCGTCATCCTGCAAAATCTCCTGTAGCATTATCAGATTACCAACAAAGTGGGATACTACACCGGCGAATCGCAGGCCAAACAGGCAGCCTATCCGTCTCACCACACATACAGACTGTCAAGGTCGTAGACTAGTGTCAAGGTCACATCCTAGAGTCAAGGTCACATACTAGAGTCAAGGTCACATACTAGTGTCAAGGTCACATTTCTTGGATGAAGGTCAAGAACAGTAGATGTGTGAAAGACAATCTAACTATGATGATAGAAAGCACCTAACAGGCTTACATCACTGTACAAATGTATTTCTATCAAAGACAAAGATCTGATAGCTTCTCTAGAATTGAGACTGTGATAATCATGAAAGTATTTTTACTTTATTTTTGTTGATGTTTCTTAACATCATTTCTCAGATTTTTTTTTTTTTTTTGTGAGATTTGAGACAGCAACAGAATAAAATCCATTATGTTGTAGTAAAATATTAAATTGAATTTCCTCATCTGATATCCATACAACTGTTGCCAAGTGTTTTTATTACAGATCCAGCATTATGTGTCAATGTTATCTCGTAATAATTTATCACAATAAGTTTTACCTTTTATTTCATTTCTGTACTGATTTGCCCCTCAAGGCAATATCTACTGAAAGAGAAAACACAACAAAGGTCGAGAAGGTAACATATCGACATCTATACCCTGACATTGGCAATTCCGTCATAAGGAGATAAAAATAATTCTTAAAGATTAAAGATATTGTGTTGATACATATACACTATCTTTTCATAGTTTTTTTATTGTGCTATCTAATCAAATTAATAGAATTATATTTCTTATTGCGGCATGAAATCCATATTTGATATGAATTTCGATGGTGTAAGACCCTCTCACCAAATATGAGAACCAGTTTATCAGACAGACTGATTGGATCACTGTACATTAATCTCCCTTTTTTATGCCCCGGCCATCAAAAATTCTGTTTATTGACAAACATTTACAAATACCCATCACAAATGCTGTTTATTGACAAACATTTACAAATACCCATCACAAATTCTGTTTATTGACAAACATTTACAAATACCCATCACAAATGCTGTTTATTGACAAACATTTATAAATACCCATCATGAATGCTGTTTATTGACAAACATTTATAAATAGGCTATTAGTTGTGATAACTGTATATTGAGGTAAACATTTACAAATACCCATCAAAAATTCTGTTTATTGACAAACATTTACAAATACCCATCATGAATGCTGTTTATTGACAAACATTTATAAATACCCTTCATGAATGCTGTATATTGACAAACATTTACAAATACCCATCAAAAATTCTGTATATTGACAAACATTTATAAATACCCATCATGAATGCTGTTTATTGACAAACATTTATAAATACCCATCATGAATGCTGTTTATTGACAAACATTTATAAATACCCATCATGAATGCTGTATATTAACAAACATTTTATGAAATCCCATCAGGAATTCTGTATCAATAAATATCTTTATGAATGTCCATCAGAAATTTAGATATTGATGTAGATTTATGAAAAACATTTTAAAATTCTGTCTTCATTCAATGTTGATATATTTAAGGATATATGGTCTTACTGTAAAATTTTACACCCTTTAAAAGAATTTCACCCAATCTACTCTAAAAATTCATGGAAAAAATTTTATTTTAATCTTTCAAGGGAGATAACTCTAACAGATGATACTGGTTTATTGGTTTCACCAGTTTGACCAGGGTTGTTCATAATAAAGAAATACCTACTGGTCTTATTTTGCTTTCTGACAAGATTTGACTATGTCTTTTTGATTCCTGTATTAATATTTGAAGGTCCATCCTGATTAATGCTGCAAATTTTACACCCAATGTGCCGGTAAACCAGTTTGTCCACAGAATGAATGGATGTAAATGTATTAACAGGGTTTTCCATAATTTTGTTAGTAGTAGGCTGTGTAGTGAAAGTAGGAGGCTGGCCTGCCATGTACATGTAGTCGTGTACGGAACATTATTACGGAACTGGATTGGTGTAGGCGGCCAAATGATCAAAGTAACCGGTCAAATTGGCCGGCGACCGACTCTTAAGGAAAACCCTGATTAAACTGAAACTTTATTTTACCGAAAGAGAAGAAAAACACAAAACTATGTGGAAGATTGAACCATTGTACAATTACTCATAAAAATCAGGTTGTCATATTACAGTATATATTTAACAGAGAACCTGGTATGAATTTTACGCAAATGTACACAAGTTTTAGTGTGTATGTCAGACATGCATGATGAGGTAGGTGTAGCAGTATTTCTGTGATACGGTGTGTAGTTTATTTATAATGTTAAACTATCAGCCAATTTCTGTAAATACCACAGCTGAGAAAATGAGTTAACATTATACAATGTAATTTATGAATAAAACTAACGAAATTATACGTTTTTAGCTTATTTATTAGATCAGGATGACCTAGGGCCATCATGTTTCATCAGTTGATGTGCGATGTCAGCTGCCTACCATGCATAAATTTTCAGTTCAATTACTTCTTATTAATAACCAAAAGGCCAAGGATACTGATAATTGGCCTAAATAATGCTTTGATGGAGGGATACCAAGTTTGTTGATATTATTGACCTTTACCCACTTTCAAGGTCACATTTGTCTAATATGTCAAAATCTTTTAAAGGCCTTCTTTTGGATAACCAGTCTGCTGGGACAAAGTGCTTACAAGTGTGTTCATATTATTGACCTTGGCCTACTTTTAAGGTTGCAGGTGTCAAATATGTCAAAATCTTTAAAGGCCTTCTTTTCAGTAACCAAAAGACCAAGGTGGCTGATATTGGGCCTTGAGCATGTTTGATAAATTGAATTACCTTGGCCCATTTTCAAGGTCACAGGGAAAAATGTGTAAAAATCTTTTAATGACTTCTTCATAAAAACCAAAAAGCCCAGAGTGCTGATATTGGCCCATAACATGCTGGAAAGGAGGGCTACCAATTTTATTCATGTGATTGACATTTTCTCTTTTTAAAGGTCACAGGGGTCAAATGTGTTAGAATATTCAAACCACTTCCTCTCAATAACAAAAAAGTCCTGTCTGTTGATATTGGTTCTCTGATATAAGTGTATGAAGGGCTACCAATTTGTTCAAATAATTGACCTTGACCTGTATTCAAGATCTTGTGGGTTAAGTGAGTTGAGATCTTAAATTCTTTTTTATAACAAGCAATAGGTCTGGAGAAATGGCATTTGTGTACTGGCATGCATAAAGAATATGATTTTAAGTTTGCAGAAAATGTTTTTTATGAACCAACCATATCTTGCTGTAGAGTAGCTGAGCAATTTATTTTAGGCCTATTTGGCCTCATCCATCTATAGTTCTTTATATTCAGACCCGTGGGCCTCTTGTTCGATACGGTTTCAGATCCAATTTAAAGAATTAGTTCTGTTTATTTGTTTTGATCATTGTAAAGTTTATCAAAATTTCGGAAAAATTTGGATCACTTTCATACCTGTCCTCTGATCTATCTGTATATCACCTGTTGTCCTCTGGTAACATTTTTACATTTTTGACTTCTTAAAAACAGCTGAGTAATATCAATAAAATTTTGCAGAAAGGTTCCATGGTCATTGACAAACTTTGTAAATGTAGGATTCCAACCCTGGCCTGAAAGGTGGCTCCCAAAAGGCAAAATATTGATTATATTTCATGAAATCTCCAGATCAAGATACCGTAGAATTAATTTCCACAGATGGACATGTTTCAAGGTGCTTTGTCAAAGTTGTAAATTTCATAGCCCCTAGTCCCCCATTTCATTACAGGTAGGAGGGGGATTTCACTTGTTATATGTTAAATAGGAAAATAACAATTTGTAACCTAAAGGTCCAGGATTTTTAAGGATATTAATTATATATTCGTTCTGTAATAAAATTGGATAAAAAGCTCACACATTTAATCAAGTGACTGAACTTGTTGGGGTTTCAAGGTAACAAGGGGTTAAATATTTAGATAATCAAGCAACTTCTTTTCAGTAACCAAAAGGCCCAGGGTGCTGATATTTCACCCATAGCATACTGAGATGTAGGGCTACTTTTGTTTGTATGAATATCCTTGACCCAGTTTCATGGTAACAGGGCTAAATTTGTTAATACCTTTTATTGCACCTCGGACTAGAATGCATTGATCTGATTGGACGTTGCTTGCCCCCTATAAATCTATAGGGGGCAGCTGAATATATAGGGGGCAATGGCCGCCATCCATTATCTCTGAAAGGCGTCACTTCGTAATTTCAAATCACAGATTGGCGATATTCACATTCTGTTCCGTGTCGGAATATTGGCTAGAGTGAATCCTAGAAGTTGCTATTATCTAGTACGAGTTGTTTCCCCTACACGAAGCACCTATTTGACTCGGATCAAAAATGGCTGGGCGGTTCGGGCAGACGACAGCTGCAGACAAGGAAAAAAAACGCCTGGCACTTAACGCTGATAAGACGTTAAAAGCTAATAAGTTGGCCGCTAAAGTGTTCAAAGATTATTTGGTGGAAAAGCAGCAAAACCCAGATTTTGAAGATTACGATGTAGTCCGACTGGACGAATGTCTTGGCCATTTTTACATGGATGCCAGGAAATGTGATGGGACGTATTATATATATATTTAAATGGGTCCTTGGTGCAATAAATTCGTTATGTAGTTTGCTAGTGACCCCCTACAGGAATATAGGGGTTCAGTCAGATTGGTAGGGGGATTCGGGCGAACCCCTATATTCCTGTAGGGGGTCACTAGCAAACTACATAACTAATAATATTGGGTTTGTAGAACGCTGGTATGAAGAACTATCAAGTTCATTTAAATGGTTGACCTTGATTTACTTTCAAGGTCACTGGGGTCAAGTGTGTGTTGAAATCTTAAAATTTCTTTGGTCAACAAGCAATAAGTCTTAGGTCATGGTAGTTGTGTTGTAGAATGTATGAGGGGTAGATTTCAAGTTTGCAAGTATTGACTTTGTGTGAATTCACAAACTCTTTGTAGTCAAATTATCAAGATCACGTTCCATGGACTTTTTGTATGTTTGCCAGGTTAATGGCCTCATGGTTAGCCGTGATCATTTTTAACTGAACACCATACGGGAGGCTCGTCAAATGTCAAACCACACACCTCAGATTTTCACCTGAGGTGACGTTAGCT